AACGGAAAAAAAAAAGAAAAACAAAAAGAAAGAAAAGAAAAAGAAAAAAAAGAAGAAGAAAAATAGAAGTAAAAAAAAAAGAAATGAAAAAAAAAGAAAAAGAAAAGAAAGAAAAGAAATGAAAAGATTGCAACAGCAAAGTAATTCCTATGACCTAAACTACGTTTGACTTGATCCCGAAAGGGTACGTAGGCAGCCTCTCTCTGGGGTTCAGTCACATCAAAACAAAATCCCAAAAGTCCCGAAGAAAGAAACTGGGGCAGAAGTCGTAGTTGTTGTTGGAAATCTGATTCCGAAAGTTGTAATTTTGAACCCATGTTGAATTGTTTTGAGCCTTTGATACCCTTTCTTCCTAACCCTGTCCAAAGCTTGCATTACAGTCCAAAGAAAGACCTTTCGATCAATCTTTAGGAAGTGTCAATACAAGCGAGTAAAAGTGATTCACGTTAGGGGCAACACTCCGGTACAAGGAAAAAATGATAAAATGAGAGAGTCTTATTGGTGAAAACCCTCACGGGCATCGTAAGGCGAAGCGAGTTGAGAGAAAATCAAAAAATGAGAGAGTCTTATCGGTGAAAACCTTCACGGGCACCATAAGGCGAAGGGAGTTGAGAGAAATCAAAATGAGAGAGTTTGATTGGTGAAATCCCTCACGAGCACCGTAAGGCGAAGGCGAGTTTTTCAGACAGACAAATGAGACAAATCTGTGGTCAAAGATGCTCAGGATATTGCAAGACGAGCAAGGTTTGGGTTTGGATAAAAAACAGGTTGTGAAAGTTCGAAACAGCAAATGTGGCAATCAAAAGTTGATTGGTTAGACAGACTGGGCTGATTAATCCAAAATGCATGGCATGCTCAATGGTACCAGCTGTTCCACTCAGATAAGTCTCATTCTCTTCTTTCTTCATCACAAATCATCCGTTCTCGGATTCTCTTTATCCTTAACCCTTGAGGTCATTGCATTTCATTCTTTTGAGGTCTATCTCTAGGATGTTTCAGTGTCAGTTCTGTTCGAAACAAAGGAGGGAATATCAAAGCTAACTACCAGCTTCCTAGTTGCACAGATAGGGCCAGAGTATATCAAACATGGCCAAAAGCAAAGTAAGTCATAAAGGACCACTGGAAGTTTCATTGTTGGATTAATTGGATAATTGTGGGGAAGAAGTGAAGTACCAAAAGAGGGGTCAAAAACACAAAAACAACAATATGGGGTAGAACACTTAGTCAAGAGGTTGAAATTCGGTCAGGAAGTCGAGGGGATTCAAGGCAAGTCCAGGAAAGTGAGACGGAGTAAAGCCCGGCAGCAGGGATGTACCTAGCAAGAATGCCGGCAACTAACCACATTTTTAAAACTGACAAGATTTTTCTTTGATTAAAATAGGGGCAGAAAGTTTTCATTGGTTTTGGGAGAAACCCTCCTTAAGGAAAAAGCAAGCACCCAAAAAAGGTATGCTGGAAATTCTCAGGACCCTCCTGGAAAATGGGATTTAGTTTAAACTTCAAAACAATCATGAGTAGCATAATTTATCACAAATGTATCCTAAAGAACATGGGTTGTCTAAGATAGGATTTAATTAGGAGTGGTCAGGACCCTCTTTAAAGTTCGCTTCAGATAACAAGATATAGTGGGAGTCGTACCTTCAGTAGATATAATTTAGGTTAAAACTATCTTTTAACTAGAAGTTGTCAGGACCCACCTGGATAATGGGGAGTAGTTTAAGACCTTTTAGAGAACAAATGTAGTGGGAGTAATACCTTCAGAGGATATAACTTAGGTTCATAATTATTAGAAGTTGTCAGGACCTCCCTGGATAATAGGACTTAGCTTTCGAATTCTTATAATAGTTGGTAGAATAATTTAGTTTAACAATCACCCATGTGCCCAGTCACTAAACTGGGGCAGAAGTTTNGCCGTTAGCGAATTTCACGGCCTTCCCCAAAGATAATAATGCGATAGTCTCTTTAGGCACGCACTTTAAATAATTTTACATTCCTAAATACGGGTGCACATTTATGTGACCCAAATCCAAATCCCAACGAAGCCGAAATGTGTCAAAAACCACGGGTGCATTTATGTGACGTGGTTCGAGACATGCTTTCACGACGTTGCAATTCTTTTAAAATAAACAATAATAATAAAAGCGGTTCAAAGCTAAAGACATAAATCCAAAAACATGTACTAAAATCAAATAAATAAGCCAAATATGACAGTTGAGCGACCGTGCTAGAACCACGGAACCCGGGAATGCCTAACACCTTCTCCCGGGTTAACAGAATTCCTTACCTGGATTTCTGGTTCGCGGAATGTTAACAGAATCATAATTTCCTCGGTTCGGGATTCTAAACAGGTGACTTGGGACACCATTAATCTCCCAAGTGGCGACTCTGAATCTTAATAATAAATCCCGTTCCGATTGTCCTTTAAGTGGAAAAACTCCTTTACGCCTTGCGGGTGTAAGGAAAAAGGAGGTGTGACAATACCTGGGAGTTATGCGATGCATAAGTTCATCGCATAACACAATATGCGATCCCATAAGTGTTATGCAATGGACTTACGACTGGGCAACCTATATGCAAAATGTGATGCACAATGCGATCGCAAAGTGCACATGCGGGCCGCATAAATGAAAGATAACCGCATAGTTGACAATGAAGTTAGCCAAACTTTCTGCCTGGGTTTGCGATGACTATGTGGTTCACATAGTCATTGTGCAACCGCATAGTTGTCGCTCAATCTGGACCTCTTTTTTCTTCAGTTTCTTCAGCACTAGGACCCTGTTCATGATTTTTTACCTGCACTCTAGCACACCCGTCAACTTGCTCAATCTAATCTACGTACATAAATAAATAAATAAAACTACAAAAGAGTGCTACCACACATGGGTTGCCTCCTAAGAAGCGCTCGATTTAATAGTCGCGGCATGACGCAGTTTACTCCTTTTGGATTAATCCTTGGTGGAAGTTGTTGTTGGATCATCTCGTAAAGCAATTTGTTCTGTCACATGCCTTTCTCCTGCAGTTCTGATGTAATGCTTGACTCATTGTCCATTTACCTTGAACGTTCGAGTCCCATCTTCTGACTCATGTTCAATAGCGCCATAGGGGGACACACGCACAACTCTGAACGGTCCAGACCATTTGGACTTGAGCTTGCCCGGAAATAACTTGAGTCTTGAGTTGAAAAGTAAGACCAAGTCACCCGAATTAACCTCCCGTTTCAAGATCTTATTGTCGTGGAAAAACTTCATCCTCTCTTTATACATGGCTGCACTCTCATAGGCATGGAGACGGAATTCTTCCATCTCATTGAGCTGTGTCATCCTTAGGTTAGCAGCCTCAGCCCAGTCAAGATTCAGCTTCTTTAAAGCCCACATGGCTTTGTGTTCAAGTTCCACTAGCAAGTGACAAGCTTTGCCAAAAACCAACCTGTACGGTGAAGTGCCAATGGGGTTCTTGAATGCTGTGCGATAGGCCTACAACGCATCATCTAGCTTCCTTGACCAGTCGGTCCTGTTTGCATTGACAGTTTTTGCTAGGATGTTTTTGATTTCTCTCTTTGAAACTTCAACCTGACCATTCTACTGAGGATGATAAGGTGTGGCCACCTTGTGCTTACACCATATTTTTCAAGACACCCGGCGAAAGCCTTGTTACAGAAATGAGACCCACCATCACTCAGGATGGCCCTTGGAGTACCAAACCGTGTGAATATGTTTTTCTTCAAAAATGCGGTCTCACTCCTTGCTTCATTTTTCGGTAAGGCTACTGCTTCAACCCATTTTTCGGTCATGCCATGCGAGCTCACGAAGGGGCCCATAAAGTCTATTCCCCACACATCAAAGATTTCAACCTCTAGTACAAAGTTCATTGGCATCTCATGTCTCTTAGATATTGACCCTTGTCTTTGACATTGGTCACATGCCTTGACCATTTGGTTTGCATCTTGGTAGATTGTTAGCCAATAGTAACCATATTCAAGCACTTTTGCCACAGTCCGATTTCCTCCATGATGACCCCCAACCGGCGAATCATGGCATGCCTTGAGAATTGGTATTACCTTATCTTCTAGAACACACCGTCGGATGATGTTGTTGGCATAATTATGGAACAAGAAGGGTTCTTCCCAGTAGTAATGCCTACATTCCCGCAAGAACTTTTTCTTTTGATAAGCTTCCAAACCCTCGGGAACAAGGTCACTAACCAAGAAGTTAGCGATGTCGACATACCAAGGAGCAAATGTGTTCGACAATGCCAATATGTGTTCCTCTGGGAAAGCATCATTGATTTCAAGATCTTCCTTTGGTCTCCCTGCCTCTTCAAGCCTAGATAGGTGAACCGCACTTGATTTTCCGTCCCTTTTTGATCTTTGACTTCGAAGTAAAACTCTTGCAACAACAGGACCCACCGAATCAACCTAGGTTTTGCATCCTTCTTTGCCATAAGATAGTGAAGAGCAGCATGGTCGGTGTACACTATCACCTTGGATCCCAACAAATAAGCCCGGAATTTCTCAAAAGCATAGACAATGGCAAGAAGTTCTTGCTCAGTCACCGTATAATTTATTTGAGCACCATTGAGTGTCTTGCTTGCATAATAGACAGGGTGAAGAATCTTGTTATGATGTTGGCCAAGCACCACCCCAATAGCCACACCACTGGCGTTACACATGAGTTCGAATGGAAAAGACCAATCGGGTGTGACAATAATAGGTGCCCTGGTGAGCTTTTCTTTCAATTCCTTCAAGGCTTTGAGGCACTTCTCGTCAAATACAAACTTTGCATCTTTCTCAAGGAGTTTGCACATAGGATTTGCAATTTTAGAGATGTCCTTGATGAAACACCTATAGAAGCCGGCATGCCCCAAAAAACTTCGGACACCTTTAACTGAAGTAGGTGGAGGAATCTTGGAAATGATCTCGTTCTTTGTCTGATCAACCTCTATGCCTTGTTTGGAAATTTTGTGGCCCAAAACAATGCCCTCGTCCACCATGAAGTGGCATGTCTCCCAATTTAGCACAAGGTTCGTTTCTTCACATCTCTTAAGCACTTGTCTAAGGTTGTCTAGACAATGCTCAAAAGAATCACCTATGATTGAGAAATCGTCCATGAATACCTCTAAGAAATCCTCCACCATGTCGGAGAATATTGACATCATGCACCGTTGGAAAGTAGCCGGAGCGTTGCATAGCCCAAATGGCATCCGGCTAAATGCAAACGTCCCATATGGACAAGTGAATGTTGTCTTTTCCTGATCTTCCAATGCAATATTGATTTGGTTGTAGCCGGAGTATCCATCCAAGAAGCAGTGGAATGACCTTCCCGCTAGTCGATCAAGCATTTGATCAATAAAAGGCATAGGGAAATGGTCCTTGCACGTAGCACTGTTTAGCTTCCGGTAATCCATACACACCCTCCATCCGGTCACTGTTCTTGTTGGGATAAGCTCATTTTTATCATTTTCAATCACGGCCACGCCTCCCTTTTTCGGCACACAATGCACCGGACTCACCCAAGAACTATCGGCAATGGGGTAGACTACCCCAGCATCCAACCACTTGATGCTCCACACTTGGATTACTCTCATTCTCCAATTGGATCTTGTGTTCGCAAATTCCAGCGGGAATTCCTCGGATGTCCGCAATTGTCCACCCAATAGCTTGTCGATGCTCCTTCAAGACATTCAACAATTGCTCTACCTACACATCATTCAACAAAGAAGAAATGATTACCGGTAGAGTGTCATTTGAGCCAAGAAATTTATACCTCAAGTGCGGTGGAAGTGATTTGAGCTCTAGTTGCGGCGGCTCAATAATTGAAGGCTTTGCCGGAGGAGTGACTCTATTCTCTAAGTCGAGAGAGGGTTTATTTGGAGCATAAGTGTAGGACCCAAGCCCTTCCAATGCATTCACTGATTCCATATACCCCTCCATATCTTCACCATCGAAATTTACCAAAATAGCTGCCAACGCCTGACCGAGACATTGTTCTTCCATCTTCATTTCAATTGTATCTTCCACTTCATCAACAGCATCAATCACCGAGATGCTTTCATATTCATGTAGTAGTTTCATACCCTTGCTTGCTTGGAATGTGACCTCTTCATCATTCACACGGAATTTGATCTCATTCTGTTCCGAATCCATTAGTGCTCTTCCTGTAGAAAGGAATGGTCTCCCCAAGATGATAAGGATCTCTTTGTCAACTGCACAATCAAGGATTACGAAATCAGCGGGTAGATGGAACTCTCCCACTTTCACAAGCACATCATCGACAATTCCCACCGGTCTCTTTATGGAACGATCGGCCATTTTCAACCTCATACTTGTAGGCCTCGGCATAACTAACCCTGCTTGCTTGTAAATAGCTGGAGGCATTAAGTTGATTCTAGCCCCATTATCACAAAGAGCTCTTACAAACTCACGCACCCCAATAGTGCATGGAATGGTGAAAGCTCCCGGGTCTTCTTTCTTTTGAACGGTGGTTGTTGCAATGATGGAACTAACCCGGTGAGTCACATTCACCACTTCATTCTTGGTGGTTCTCTTCTTGGTAATCAAGTCTTTCAAATACTTAGCGAAACCCGACATCGCTTGAAATGCTTCCACCAATGGAATATTTACCGTTAACTGCTTGAGAATGTCATAGAACGTTTGGAGTTTTCTATCATCAACCTTCATAGCAAGTCTTTGAGGGAAAGAAGGAGGAGGTCTAGGAATAGCTGGTAGAGTTTTTGGTGTCTCTTTTACCTTTTCCTTTACCTCTTCCCCGTTCACTTCTTGAACTTTCAACTCTTCCGGAACCTCTTTAGCTTCAACAACAATTTGCTCTTCAACTTTTTCCTCAACCTCTTGTTCGGAATCTTCCACTTCAACCACTTGTTCACTCTCTCCTTGTAGTACCTTCCCACTCTGAGTAGTAATTGCCATGATATGAGAAGTTGGACCACTCCCACTACCCTTGGGTTCGCAATTGTCTCACTTGGAAGTGTCCCCTTTTGCTTTGGATTTTGTTCCCTAGAGAGATCTCTCATTTGCATCTCAAATTTTTGAATGGATGCGGTATGAGAACCAACAAGCTCGGTCATATTCCTCATAGAAGTGTTGGACCTTTCTTGATTTTGCAATACCCGTTCAAGCATGCTTTCCAACTTGCAATCACTTGAGGAACCTTGATTTGAATATTGCCCCTTTGGTGGAACATAAGGGTTTGAACTCCGATTTGAGAAGTTGTTGTTGTTGTTATTCCAATTTCCTTGATTTGAGGTACCTTGGTCATTTCGCCATTGTTGGTTGCCTTGCCCTTGCGGGTTAGGCCTCCATTGAATTTGTTGTCCTTGACCTTGGTATTGTTGCCTTTGATAGCCCTCTTGAGAGTTGTTGACATAGTTTGCTTCCTCAAAGTCTTCATTTTATGTGGGTTGAACATCCTCCACCACATTTACCTTTTTCGTTTGGCTTTCAGTGAACATCTTTGTCAACACATTGACATTGGTGGCAAGCCCTGCAATTACTTGATCTCTTTCTTGGTTCTCCTTAATCATGTTGGTCAAGGAGGGAGTACCATATGCAATTCCACCTGTGGTGTCCTCTGAGTGCCAAGCTTGGTTATGTTGCGCCATTTTGTCAAGGAATTGTGTGACCCTTGCAAATGTCTTATCCATAAAAGATCCATCAGTTGCATTCTTCGCTATAGATTGGTTCATAGCATCTAAACCCATGCAGAATTTCTCCAACAAGATAGAATTCGGAAAACCATGATTAGGCGACCTCACCAAATATAACTTGAATCGATCCCATGCCTCATGTACATGTTCTCCCGGTAGTTGCTTGAAAAAGAAAATTTTATCCCGGAGCTCAGATTTCTTGCTTTGCGGGAACCATTTAGCTAAGAATGCTTGGATAGGTTCAGGCTAAGAATGAATGGAATTTGGTGGCAAATTTTGAAGCCATTTCCTTGCTTCCCCAGCCAGTGAGTACTTGAACACCCTCAACCTTAGGGCATCATCTGAGACGTTGTTCTGCTTGTGCATCGCACATACACCCAAGAAGTTTCTAAGATGTTGTGTCGGATCATCATCAGTGGAATTCCTGAAAAACCCCTCCGCTTTAAGCATTAGGATTAAACCATGTTCCACCTTGAAAGTGGCAGCACCAACTATCGGAGGTACAATAGCATTTGTATCCTCAATGTACTCATCGATGTCCGCAAAAGGATTGTCTACTTCATCATATTCAGCCATATTTTCCTATCAACACCAAGCAAAACAAGCAAAGTGTGATGGAATAGAAGAAGACGTAAAGTAAAGCACACACTAATTAGTAATTTCAAAGCCGTATTCCCCGGCAACGGCGCCAAAATTTGATACACTCAAACTACACATTAATTAAATAGTGTAAAGCGTCAGCGTCAAATATAGTAACCCAACAAGGTTGGGGTCGAATCCCACAGGGAATAGGCATGAAAAGGTTACTCGAGTAGTAGAGAATGGGATAGTTGTGATTTTAATGAGATTCTAATTGTATTAAGAGAATGTAAATGATTTGATTAAGGAAACCAAGCGTGCCTCCCTTTTAATGTAATGTAATGCTATCGGTGTTAATATGATATATTTCTAATGGAAGGTCCTTTGATATGCAAATGATTTCTAAATTACTACTCAATATTTTCCAATAGTTGAATAGTGTTTTTCCTTTATGATTTTCCCAAATATAAAATTGCAATTTAAGAACAACCAATTTATGCCAAGTAGAACCCACTTATTCATAAGCGATTCTATTAAACAAGATTTAAAGTCTTGAGTTCTTGATATTCAATTCTACCAAACCCTAACTCACATTTCCAAGTAAAGAAAGAGTAAAATGGAATAGATTAATGTTTGCAACCACCAACCATAAATAAAGAACAAGAATTGAATAAATATCAACCAACCATTATATATATATTCAATGTTAAACACCCATTAACATTACACCCATCTAGGGTCCACAACCTTAGTATTTAAAACTAGCTACTCATACTAAAAGACAAGAACAAAGTATTTAATAAAGTCATAAAGCGTACAAAAATGCAAGATTCCTTTTTCACAACCTTCCAAATAAATGAAGTATTCAATGCTCTCTAAGTAGGGACCTTGTTTCAGACTTGAATGACCCACAAAAACCCTAGTTATTCTCTTTATAGTGGACCAAAAGTCGTAGTCAAAATCGGACAAAAATACCCCTTCAGATGGCTTATGCGATCGCATAATTGTCGCAGACCAGTTATGCTGACCGCACATTGAGCATTCCATCGCAAACTTGCTGAGCTCCAGATCTTGCTTCAGTCGCATAACAATTATGCGGTCCGCATGTGTGTTATGTGACTGCATATCCCACTGCATATCATGCTGAGGACTATCTTCTACTAGATTTATGCGACCATTATGCGGCTCGCATAGGTGTTATGCGACCACATAATGGACCGCATATTTTCTTCTTCATTTGGCCCAAAAGACTGTATCTGTTTACGATCACCAGGTCAGTTATGCGGTCCGCATGTGAATTATGCGACCGCATACTTGCAGCATATCCGTCTTTTTGTGATTTTTTGACTTCTTTTTCATGTTTTCGGGTCTTCAAGCTCATGCACTACAAAACAACCAAACATGATCAAAATTAACTAAAAATGCAT